GGAAGTTTTACGGAGATTCTGGAATGTTTCCGTGGGTTTTGTGTAGACCTTTGTGTCTAGAATACCCGTTTCACGGAAGCGTTTTCCTTAGAAAATAGTGAGGTTAAGGTAGTTTATAGTTGTTTCGGAGGCCTCGTATGTGAACTTCAGAGTTGGGTGAAGTTCGTTCATGTGAGCAACGAATTTTTGAAATTGGTTTACATTTCCGTTGTAGATGACTAGTATGTCGTCTCTATATCGCTTCCATGTGAGGATGTTGCGTGCTTTGAGGAATATTTCGTTCTCAAATTTATGAAGGGTAATATCACAAATTTCTGGGCTGGCTGTAGAGCCCATGGCACATCCAATTTTCTGGAGAAAGAATTTGTTTCCGAAGCGGAAACAGTTAAGGCCCAAGATTAGTTCCAGAAGTAATTGGACATATGTTGAGTTGGGTTTTGTGATAGTGTAATTATAGTTGGATTTGTCCAATGCGTATACATACGCATTGGATTGCTTCTGCTTGACGGACATTTGTGTACATTGAAACAACATCAGTGCTGGTTATTAGGACGTTTTGTGGAAAGGATGTTCCTTCCAATTTGCGCAATAAATTGGCTGTGTCACAGACATATGTTGGTTGCACGGTTGCTATGGGAAGGAGAAAGTAGTCTATACATTCTGAGATTTTTGATGTTGGGCTTGTGCATCCGCTTATGATTGGGCGTCCAACAAAGGGTTCTCCCGGTGGTGGGTTTTTATGTATTTTAGGGAGAAAATACATGATTGGACATTGGCATTTCTGTGGAAGTGGATCTAAATATCTCAGAGTGGCATTGTCGATTTGGTGGTTGTTTCTCATTTCAATGAGCATGTTGTGAACCAGGGTTGTGGTTTGCGGGATCATTTGTTGTGTATACATGTACCTACTGTGAATAATTACGTATATTTTAGTGCAATACATGTAGACATTCAACCTCCATAACATACTCTATGGCATGTTGCAGGGTTTTTATGTGTCATTCAGTTAAAAATTCTTAATATGCTAGTCATTCTTCAAACTCAGAACCTTAAACTTCTTTCCTTCTGGTGGTACAGCACAAGTGTTCCTGTTATCTTACATTGTACAACCCGTCTTAAATGTACATGTACACCAAGGTTTCATACATGTACATGTATGTAGATGCATCCGAACCCAAAAATATACCAGTTTTATCATCTCTGAAGCTACCTTTTTTCTCAGTGTGACATCAGCTTGCTAGACTTTTCTGTCAAAACTGTTCATCCCTCCAAAGAAATTCACATCCGATTTTGTCTGCAGATCTACATGTAGTTGTGTACATGTATTCGTCTGGCTCAAACTAGCCACATTTTTTGGCTTGCATGTACCAGTAGTTAAACGAAATTGTTAAGATGAACGAATGGTTGTTCTATGTAACATTGATTTAAATTATCTGGTTAATTGCTGATGCACACTGATATACTTGTATGATTTACAAAAATGCTTCAATACGCTGGTCATTTTTCGAGAGACTTACATGTAGAAGTCATATTCACATCCACTTACACTGTCACTTGTACTTGCACGTGTATGTTCTTATTTTGTTTTAACTTGTACCAGTATATAAATGACAGATCACTGGATAACCCTGAATCTTAATGTTCTTTGTTTATTGCAGGAGAAGGAGAGATGACTCGATATCTTCATCTGAGATCCACCTTCATCCTCATGAGAGACACCACCAAGTACATGTGTACATGTATTTGGTTGACAGCCTTTGTTGGTGCCATAGTTTCTGGTGTGTACTACCTACAGTACATGTATATGTACCTGTGGTTCTGACTCGGTGCTGCTCATACTCAAAGCAACCGGGTGAGTAACTCTGCTACTTGACTCATTTGGGCTGTTTTGTGGGATTTTTTCCTCAAATGGGGCTAAACTGTGTCAAATATTGTTGGTCTAAAACATAAAAGAACAGACAATTTGCCATTTGACTCACCAGGTGGATAGGCAAATTTTCTTGTCCTCCGAAAACTTTAAAATGTTTTACCAACCAACCCGAAGTTGACTTGGAACAAAGGTATGATTGCCAGTCGTCAAATGAATGTCTAATAATCATTTTTACATGTACATTAGTGTACTGTGCAGGCTTGCTAATGCACATTGAATTCATGTCATGAATGTCCTACTTGCATACAATCACCCCTGCCCTGTCATGGTTTTATATTGATTTTGTTTTGCACTTTTGTTTTCACATTGTCACATAAATTAGCCAGCATTAAAGGTGAGGGGCCCTCCAATTTATTTGGACTTGAAATGTACATGTACTTGGCTGGAATGTCTGATTTTATTCAGCAGGGCTCGCGAAATTTTTTAAAATGTAGTTGCCCTTCGGGCAGGGAAGTTTAAAATCTGGTTGCCCGAATTTCATTTCCAGTTGCCCGACAAGGAAGTTTTAGTTACAAGTGGTCTCCAAGCTTTCAGTAATTACAGTCATTTTCCTAGTTCCTGATTGCTTGAAATGAATATACATGTACCTAGGCCTGCCCACCTTTTTGTTATTGCTCTGCAGCATTACACTCTTAAGACGACTTCTTTTTTGAAAGATAATATAAAAGTCTTGCAGTACAAATTTAACTCCCAGAAAATTTCCAATTCACGCTTCGACGTTTGTTGACGATTTGTCAAAAAACAGGGCAGTAGAAAAAAAATCAACACCAGAAAAAATTACAGGTCGGTCACTCACTACACAAGATTCCATGAGCGTTTTCTTAGTTACAGATCGCGCATGCAAGTACATTTACAAACGTCATGAACTCAACTACACGTGCGTAACAGATTTGTACGTGACGTACATGTAATGGGTTCGTCAACTTTGCAGCGTGGGGGGATTTGTGGTTGATGGCTCGCTGAGCAGCAAAGTCAAGTCAAACTTTATGCAGGCTATCCATTATGATGCACTGAAATTCTAATATATAAACTAATCCCCTTTAAAATAAGACTTGCTTTAATAGAAAATATGCTTGTTACAAAGGCTTTTTATGTGTAAAGAAATTTTTGAAATGATCCAGAACTGACTAAACCGATCCAGAACTAGGAAAAGTGTCGTCGTCACTTTTGTGGAACCTTTAAGGCAAATTGAAAGCTAAAAATTTGAAAATATACATGTAAATGCATGTACATGTAGACCTCTGACCCCATTTCATTGGAATTTGATGAAAATTGAGCTGTAATATGACTGAATATTGTTTTAGTGATCCGGAACAAGAAAAACGACTGAATGCAGACACCGCTCTGTTCATGCCAACGATTTGACCGTACGTATCACGGTTCAAGGTTCGGATGTCGAGTTTTTTGCGGTCTTCTTTTGCGATCTTTTTTTGGTGCACGGTTGCCGAAAACAGGTGCTTGCCCGTCGGGCTGGCAGCCTGGAACATTTGGTTGCCTGACAAAATGTTTTGGTTGTCCCCGGACGTCGGACTACCGATTCTGCGAGCCCTGTTCAGAATTGTAGGCATTTCTTGGAAGACATTTGAATCTAATAAAAATTTGTTTTTCTTTTAAATTACATCCAAACCATAACATAATGCACTAAAATCTTCTCTTTCTTATTCATCAGGTATGGATCCTGGACAGGCATTCCTCAAAGTGTTAAGGATGACGTTTCAAGTAGTGCCGTCTTCGCTAAGAATGGAGAAGTCCATTACTTACCTGCATAATGGGGAAATTTTGCTGGTTGTATAGAGAGAGGTTATCGTAGCAATGAGATTGTACTGTAAGAGTGACCATCAGAGGCTCATCTAAAACATCGCAGTGAACATCGCAGTCCATGGATAGTGTGTTCCTAAAGATGTGTTGTAGCACACACTTGTTGAGCAGTCTTTCATGGATGCAAGTTGGACCTCACCTGCTGCAGTTTGAATCTAGTTATCTGGAGAATACATGGAGACTTGCACTGGGTTTTCCTCTGCAGTGGACTTTTATCTTAAGACCGTCCTTTCACTGCACTCTTTGAGGAACTTCCTACCGGTACCTGTAGCCTTTCAGTGCTGCTAATGTTAAAAACCTGCCATGGACAGTATTACCTGAAAGGACATTGGTTTTAAAGAAAAATGGAGTGTGCATGACCAGTGGTGTAGAGTTAGAACTGATTTCTAACTGTTCCAATCACAGCTCAATCACAAAGCTTAAAATTGCTCTATTGGGTGACCAAATTTTGATGCAGTACTTGACAATCAATGCCCATGTCATCTTTGGGAAGTACATGTAGACAAATTTATCTGCGTAAGAAGTAGGCTCTAGCACAGTCAAAATCAATCATCAGATTTTCTCAATTCATTTTTTTTTTATTTTGAGTTTCCTCAGTTTGTTTTGTGTAAAGAATGGACAAATTTTCAAGGCAAAACAAATAAAGCCATTAGGATCTACACCACTGGGACAGAACTATGTTTTGTGAAAAACAGACTCCATAAAAAGCCAATAATTTAATCGAACATTCCTTAGTTTTTTTATTTTCCAGGATTACATTCATGGCCAGCCCCTCACAACAGTCACTCAAAAAAAAATTGCAAAATGTTATAAACTAAATTCTGAAACTGTAAAAGAATGTGAGGGACACATGTGGTCCAAACCATTTGAGAAACATGTTCAGGTTATCAAATTTGGACAGTATTTTTCATATTTCTATTCTTGCCAAAAGAAACAGTACATGTATCTTATGCAAACAATTTTTGAGCCAAATATTACGTGTGTACATTTTGTGAGGGCTGGTTCCCATATAAGAAATTTCTTTTAAAACTATTGTCAAATGCCTGAATGGTAAAACCTTCCCACGCTGCGTGTAGGATGGGTTAATATTACTACAGCCTTCAATCCACTATTTCCTAAAATACCTGTAAAGCTCATCTTGATAGCTTGGTGTTTCTTTCATCAGTTGAATGTGAGACTTGTCTCCATTCAGATGAAGTGCTCATCGCAGTATGTAGACTCATGAATCATGGTCTTGGAGAAAACATATTGATCTGTTAAGATTGCTTGTGAAGACAAGAAGAACCCAAATCACTGTTCTTATCCAAACCTTGCATCTTTGCAAAACATTTTTTCCTACACGAAAATGCTGTAACCACAAACCCCAGCTTACGTGTTTTGTTTAATTCTAAATGAGCAAAATAATTGTAGCAATTCTAACTATTTGCAGTTGTTTTCCAAGTATTTGCCCAATCAAGAAACACATATGCACCTTAATTCTTAACTGAATCAGAGGTAAACATGTACATGTATGACCCATCTTACACATAGCACCTCGAGTATTATCAGCACTGATTGAAGCCTCCTAAATTCAAACAATGAAGACGCTATATGAGTTGTTGGAAGAGACTGCTATAACTCATGTGTATTCAAACTTCAGTTTCTTTCAAAGTAAAAACCAAGGTATTAAGTTTGTCAAAAAGTAGGCTGCAGTGCCTACGCATTCTTTGGAAAGGAGCCATATAAACTTTGTGTTTTTTTGTTGTACGTCATTTCAAGTTAAAATGCATCCAAAGAGGCAACACAAAGATTAATGTAGTTTTTCCAAAAAAGTAGCGCAGCAGGTATCCTATGTAATTGAAGTGCTGATTATACTCTAAGCTCTTGTTTGGAACATTCACACTAATGTGTACATTGTTGTGTTTTACCTCCAGGCAAACCAAATCAAAACCTCTTAGCCCAGTTGCATGCAGGCCTTCCTGGTGTGTGCACGTGTGTTCCCTGCCCACAGACGCTGACAGGTTGGTGGTTGCCCGCTATCTGCATCGGTTTGTGAATCAGCTGTTGGTGATGTATACAACCTCCTGAAATCTTGCAAGTCTGGGTGATAGTGGATATCTCGTTGACTGTAACACGGTAAGGATCCTCTTAACTTTGGCAATTGGTCATTTTGTCTGTCAAGCAGATGTACTTAACCACTGCTCCAGAGATGGCAACCCAAGAGAACACTTATGCATCTACTCTGCCATTGCTCACTTGACATTTCAAGAGTTCAATACATCTTTGTCTTTGATCTGAGAAGATGGGAGATGTACAAAATGGTCAATTTTTGTGGGCTTTCTCAGATATTCAGCAGTGTCTTAGGATGTTAGGCCAGTTGTTATAACCCATGTTCATGGTGGATAGCTTCCATCATTTAAATCTAACATCTTTACTATTATTGTATTCACATGTTCCAATGTCACTTGTCAAGCAGTGTGCAGTCATGAAGTTCTGTTTAAACATACCTGTTGAGTTCCAAGAAAACGTCTTAAAGTGGACGAAATACATTGCAAAATATCAGTCAATCAAGCAACGGATGCATGCATAAGGAAAGAAGTTGAGCTTAAAATTCCATGGCAAATGATGTTTTTTTTAAAGCAAATATTCTGTGATTACAACTTGTAGTTCTGTGTGCCAAATATTTTAATGTGGCTCCCAATTTTTTCCATCAAGAGTGTAAGCTTTTTGGAAGCACACTGATTATCTCAAATAAACAGATTGTAGTCCTTTGTGCAAAATGCTGTGTGTGGATCATTTTCTCCAAAGTCCAAAACTCCAAAACTAGGATCCTTATTCGAAAGCATTTTATAAAAGCTGTTTTCTCAAAGCATTAATTTAAACTGAAAGATTTCAAATTTGTTGTGGTAGTGCCATCAAATATTTTCCAATTCATGTGTAAATTGCAGAAGCAAAAGGTAAATGTCACAAATAAAAAAATCAGAGGAAAAAAAAGAGAAGCGGAACTCATGAAACTGCTGTGGAGATTACTGGTGTGCTTCACATACCACCCTGTTAGAATGCTTGGTGGACGATGTATTCAGGACCATTCACTCGAATTACACAGGAAACACACATATTCCTGAATCTGGTCATGTGTTGACTGGAGATTTCATCGGAGAGGACCATTCAAATGCAATGCCACTCTATACAGCAAATTCTGCTGTCCCTTCATGTCACATTACTGACCCTGAAACTTGTAGCAGCTGGCATTAGTTGGACACAATTTGAGGTCTGGCAAGATTTCCTTTGACAGTTTTCCTATAGTGACAATATTACATGGAACTGGAAAACTTGCACACCCTAGAAGGCTCTTTGCTGAGCTTAGGGACTGTGGTTTCTCCTGAAGAAAACTCAACCTCTGCTGTTATTTCCAACTCCAAAGGGAGAATAGTAAAGTACCAAGGGAGGTTAAGGAGGTTGGGGGGGGGGCAAATCGGGAATAGAGTGTGTGTTCCCCTTTCATCAGGAGTGAATGGCTTGGGAGATTGGGTACCAATTTGCTTCTCAGTATCCTAAAACAGAAACTGTGGCATCAACACGGGGAGCCTGTCCCAGCCACAAGGTCCATGGTAAGTTTAATTGAAGTTTGTAAAACTAATTCATGCACTGGTGTATTAAAACAAAAATGGTTGTACATCCTGGTGTCTTACTTGCTAAACCCAACTGTGCATCTCATGGCTAGGAGTAGGACTATAGTCTGTATGAACAAGGTGGTAATGCGTACAATGTAGATGGTCTTCAGTCTAAGGTAATATGCAGTGGCGTAGCAACTGGAGAGGGATGCAGTATAACTTAAGTCATAGTTGCTGAGTGACCAGTTTATCAAGAGTAGGCTTGCAACCTGGACAAATATTGAGCAAATAGGCCAACTCTAGTATACTTAATGATTGGATGGCCATATTCACGTAAAACAACTACAAATATGATTGTCTCCTACTCACTCACATTTTCCTATTTGAAAAAAAAAACAGCAGCAAAAGAGGTTGAGGCTGTTCATGCATAGCTTTGTGATACATTCAAGCTGTTGAGATTGAGCCTCGTTCTTACTTATCCTGGTGTGACAGTGTCAAACAAAGCTTGGTTGAGCCTGACAGCCATTAATTGCAGAGTTGCAGTTTGTAATCTGTGAGTTTTCCCATTTGTCATCTGTCACAGGGAGAAAGACATACCCTAGTCAGATAAAGCAGATTTCTGCTGGAATTTTCAGATGTTTATGCGTTTAAATGCCCAGCATTGACTCCTAATTGTCCACCAGTGGTTGTTGAATCACTTATGGAGTAGCATCTCAGGAAGAGGGTGTGGCAAGCACCCTTCCTGTACAAGAGACACATGGGCAACCTGTATGCCCAGGAATTAAGAAAGTACATGTACAGTATCTTGCATGTCATCTGGAGACATTTCATTTCTCCTCTGTAGAGAGATCAGAAGCCAATGGCCAGATCTCTGGATTCATGAAACTTATGAAGAATATTGCCGTCTGCTACATTTGTAGACTTGACCGTCCAACACCCCTCCTCCAAGTTACGCCACTAGCAATGCCAAAAGTAAAATCTGACTCCAAAATACCCTCTTGATGTTGTAATTGAACAATCTTGATCAAGGTTATGACAAGTGTTTTTCTCTTTGCAAGATTTGTATTATTCTTTGATAAATTGAATATTGGAATATTCTTTGAATCAAGGACCTCATATTTTGGCTACAGATAAGCTTATGGTAAACCTAGAAGTTTGGAAGATCAATGGTTGAATAGTTGACCATCCACTGTTCCTAATGCGATGTTAAGCGCATAGTGTCTAAACTCACTGCATCACACTTTGCGTAATATTCCAAACCTTTTCCATCAGATAAATTTACAGATAAAAGCAAACCACTTGAGACATCAACTGAAGAGATAATGGCTTATGAACTGCTGTCATTCTGTGAACATTCTAGTCCTAGCTGTGTTCCTCTGATGGATACCACTGCACCCAATGTACCATTCTCAGACTGGTAGAAGACTTGAACCCAAAGCTACATTGTACATGTATGCCTACACTGTACATGTACATCAGACATGTATGGGTGTCATTGTTGAAGTAGTTCAGCCAGAGTCCATATAAGGTCTATCTTCTAGTATCCCTTTGTGATGTTGTCAAGTTTTTATCAGTGCCTTGATCAAGACCATTTGATTCAAAGAGAAATGCATCAATCAAATCATGAAATTAAAAATACAATTCATCAGATTTTCTTTTCATCTGCAAGTCATTCCCAAATCTAGATACAATAATTGCAGCGTATCATGTATTGCAAAACTTTGAAGACCCATAAACAGTTTGGACATTTATTGCCTTAGACTGAAGACCATCACGCTCCATGTACATGTAGCTCATTGTAAATGTGACCCGCTCTGCAGAACAGGGTAATAAGTCGCATAATGCCAGTACAGTATATGTTATGGGCTGTTCTATTTGGAGAGGGCAAAAGTTCTTTAAAAACATGATTTTGTTGTTTCCTTTCATAACTTTTATAACATTTATATTTTCAGAATTTGTGACCACAAACATGGATACTGATGAACAAAGATGAAAAATTGATCATTCAGTAGGAAATCAGCATTGTGTTTCCAAGTGCTACACTTTCCAAGCTTTTTCTCAAAAAGTGCTTTTATTGAATCCGAAAATGTGGATATACAAATGTCTCTATTGGGGTCATTTATATATCAAAATGTAGCTTTTGATGTACACAATCCAGCCATATCAAAAACTCCTAACCTGAATCTGGCGACTTATTACCCATTGTTCTAGAGCTGGTCACAAATATATAGGATTAATATGTGTGTCTGTGGGCATAGTTTGAACCTGCAGTCTGGGTGGAAGTTTTTGTTGCATCCACATCTGAGTCCAATTTCTCTTGGTACAATACGTACTAAGTTGTGAGTCAAGATGGTCAGGTCTGGTTGAGGGATAATTGCTTGAGGGTAATTCAGATGAGAAGTTTCGCATTTACTGAACAAACCACTGTTATTCCATCAGCACTGAATCTGTTACAGACTACTCTTTGCAGTTTAGTCTGAGAAATGTGTCATTATGACTGAAAACAATTCTATTAAATGAAATTCATTGCCCTTAAATTGCACCATGTGGAATGATAAATGAACAGTATTCAACTCATTTGGTTGAAAAGCAGCAAAATGATTAACAAAATCATTTTCTTCTCAAAATTTGGTTCAGTTGTGCACTGATCTTGAGTTCATAGTTTTAAAATAAACCAGTAAAAGGAAATTCTCCAACAACTTGATCTAAAAAAAATCTGGTATGACATCCTTCCCTAATCTGCATGAATCAGCTCATGGCAGAGACCGAGTAAACGTAATCGGACATCCAATACGCATGGGGTTTGTTGTTAGTTGAAATTGCTGACTGTGCACTGTGTCTCCATAAACAATGATTCACATCTAGTCTTCGATTCTTGTAAACACAACATCCAAGAAGTTCATGTGTTGAGTTTGAACTTGGCTGCTGTTCATAGTACATGTCGCTCCATGGAACAAAAATAGCAGGGCCTGTGTTGCAAATTATGCAGTTGTGGTTAAAAATATCTCATACATGTTGTACAATTGGCTTTCAAAACTCTGTATTCGTTGCATTTGGCTTGAAAAGTTGGCCAATATCTTACACACTTTTCATCAGACATGCAACTTTTCCTCAGATCAGCTGATTTCCTTGTTTTTTACTTCATGCTCCTGCCATTGAAAATTGAACAAAGTTTTGTAAAGATTGGAATTTCTTCGTTTTTTTGTCAAAGTCCAAGTTCCATGCGAGATTGACGGCCAGATATTCAGCTCCCCCCCAAGAAAGGAGAGATTGAACTCTTTTTCCCTCTGTTATAATGAACTCAAGTCACAGAGGCCTTCAGATCTTAGAGGTTCCTCAAAGTTTGAACTCGCAACACAACCTGCTTATGGTTTGCATTTGTGAACTTTTTGCACACATTCATCTTCCCCCCTTTTTTTAACTTAAATGCAAATAATTGTCCCACACATTTTTTATGTGGTAGGCATACGCTTTCTTAAATACAGTTCAACTTTCCTCAAAACAAAGTGTGTTTCAAATGACTGTAAAAGTAAGTTGTCAACAAGGATCAAAGCAAATACATGTACATGTACGTGTAGCAAAATCCAAGGGCAATCTTATGCAGGTGCCTCAAATGCATAGACCATCTTTTCATTAAGATATCAGATGTCTTGAATATGCATCGGGGTCTACGAATGTTCTGCATCTCCTGGTCCTTAGTCGCAAAGTAAACGGTGTTAGGTCAAAGGTACATGTATTTACTGAAGGCAGGTTCTGGGAAAAGCAAGTTTGGACCACTCTATAAGTGAGACAGTTGAAATGCCACTTTTAGCCAGCTGGTACCCTACACTTGTGATTTCTTTTGTACTTCATTGAAGCTACAAATGTAGTTCCTGTTATATTTACACCTGAGCTGTGCAGTTTGGAAATCTGCTTATTTAACAATCTGACAAGGTTAATGTTATCTTTGTAAATATGTCTGCTTTGTCACATTTGTTCAGTGAAGGAAAAATGCTTTGTTTTCCATATCTCCAGATTTCAAACCTTAAACAATTAAAACTTATGAACTGTCATAGACAGCTTTCTGTGTAAGAAAAGTACATTTTAAAATTTGTTATCACAAGTTCTGGGATCAATGTGCTGAATGCTGTTTGTGGATTTCAGTATGCACATTTAAACAGCAGCTCATTTGCTTGACAGTTAACATAGGATTGAGTGAAATGTGTCTGCAAAGTTATCAAAGATCTTTAGTCTGTGTAGATGCTTGTGTAATTTATATCAATCCTGGGAATTCTACGACATTGACCAGATTAGTGAGGGTTTTTCTTATTCTTAACTGTTCATTACAGCTGTTCAGTTTCCCAAGACCTGCCTACATGTACATGTACAGTAGGTCTGCATGTGAGCATGGGCATTGCCTGCCTTATGCAGACAAGCCTACTCCAATATAACGCCATGAGAATGTCTGGGTTTAGGGAGTAATAAGGAGGATGTGCAACCATAAATTGTACAGTGCATGAATTGATGAAAACTTCAATTAAATTTAGCATGGAGTACGCGACAGGCTAACCCCATGTCATTGGATGCCACAGTTCCTATGGATACAGACTGGTAGATTGCCTACCACATTGTCCACTGAGTCGCTAAGTAGTGTGGTACTTTAGAAGTATGGAACTTTGGAAAGGCACACCAGGCCAAAATGTGTACAACTTTCAAGATGAAAGTGTTTCTTTTCTAAACATTTTTGATTTCCCAAAGCAGTTATTAGAAGGGGTGCTTTAAAGTCTAATTAAAAATGGAAACCTGAAATGTTTGAGTTCATAAGGATTTGGCTTTTAGAACGAGATGTTGAAGGTTTGCAAAAAATGCAGTTTTTGTTCACTGTGCAGCATCAATTTCTGGAGTGTGTTAAAAAAAGTCTGTTGATGCTGGATCATTAACAAGTCATGTATTACTTTGAACACATGGAAATGGAGTTGTGATGGCATTCCCCACAATTGTTTGAAAAATTTGCAAAATGTCTTATGGATTTGCGAACATTTCTGCATCGTTGAAAAGTTTTCAAGTTCTGAAAGGTACATGTATCTTTCTTGACAAATATGTGTTGGCTCTCTAAATTTCAGATTCATGACTTCATTGAAATAAAAAGGAATATAACATCTAAATTGAAGTTCAATATCAAGGAAGTAATCTGGGAAATTTGTGTGCTTCCACATCAAGCTTGTGCTTCTCCCACATGTAAAGCTTAATATTGAAAACTTTTTTCATGACACATGCAAAATGCAGGTTATCTACTTCCAATTTCTTTTTTAATTTGCGGAACGGCTGATTATGCCAGCATGGTTTTTATGTGTAGATCTTTGTGCTTACTACTCCAACACACTGCTGAAGACAAGATTCATTTGTGGGACATGTTGGATACATAAAACAGCAACGATTGAAGAGTTTTATGTGAAAGCACAGTATGAATGAGGGCCAAATTAATCGAGCCGACATTATGTGACACTGTTGCAATGTCCGAGGAAGCTTACAAAAAAAAAGAACCATTTGTATCTTCCATTTCATTAGATTAAAAGACAAGATGCAACTGATCATCTGAAATATTCTCGGGGCAATCAAGGGAGGTTGCAGAGTGTCTCTTAAAAAGTCATTCCTAGAGTGGGTGGTGGGTTTCCATGGAGACGTGCGGCATATCACATAACCCAAAGAAACATCTGCTTGGTAGAAAATTGAACCAATTGTCAGAGTTAGTAGGATCCTTATTTATGTTGCAAGTTGACTGTGGTCGTCTACGATTGCTCAGATACTTGTGAGATTTAAAGGGGTGTTTGTGTACATTCATCAATAAGCTGATCACTGGCTGATGTTGATAGTCGGGCGACTGCCACCAGTTGGTGTCTGTGGGTGGGGACATGCTTGTGNGGGTCAGTTTGAAAGGTCAAAGTTCGAAGGTCGTGTCATAGTTAAAAGGTCATGTCAAAGGTCATAGTTCAAAGGTCGTGTCAAAGGTCATATTTCAAAGGTTAGGTAAAAGTGGAAATGCAGACTGAGTAAAGTGGAAAAAGAACCGACTCATTTTTGTCCTTGGTGTTATTTCTTTGTGCCTCTAGAAGCAACACAGCCCCTTTACCCACATTTTTCTATTTTCCCACCCCCCTTTGAAGAAGACGCTGCACCAAAGTTTAATTTGGTTTTCAAAAAAGCTTTTTCAGCAAGCACGTATTAAATAACTGACAATCTGTTGGTAGTACAGTGAGTTCTTAAAGTAACCTTCCCCATAGATCAAAGCATCTGCTGTCTATTTCAAATTTCCAGTCCAATTGTTGAAATACTTGAATTTATCAAACGCTGGTTCAGTTTGAAATTGCATAAAATTGCATGCAGTGCCATGTTACATGTAGGTACTACTTGCCAATTTTTTTCAATTGTAGACCAAACTCATGAACTGCAATATCTTGAAATAGACAGCAGATATATTGAATGACAACACATCACTCGACATGAAAAGTTGTTCTTATTTTGCAAAGCATCATTTGGAAATGAACGTATCTACACCAGCACATCAAATAAATGGCATAATTTTGTGTATTTTGGATGATGTAAATCTCAAACGGAAACATTAAATAGCAAATTCAAGACCTTTCTGAGTGG